GCTGTCATAGAGGCGGGAGTCAGAAATGCTGTCCATCCGAGTCATCACCAGAGCACGGCCTGGCTGGGAGGGTCCCACAGAATGGATATTGGGAGGCATGGTGTAGTCTCCAGGACAGCTAGAGTGTGCTCCAGTTGCTGGGTTTTGGGTATGCACAGCTAAGTGAGGGACTGACTGCTTGTGGGGTGCTTGCTTGGAATCTTCTGAACCATAACTTTGCGCTCTCGCTAAGGCTTCATGGTACCCATGGGAAAAAGGCTGAAGATGGTTATGAGATGCTGAGCGATGCAGCTTCAAAGTGCCTTCGGGATGGGCATCAGCTAAGGCCAAATACAAGTTGTTGTAGGAAGAATAGTTGTCACACCTGGTATGGCTCATGTGACTGTCGGGACGGAGGCTGGGATTCTGAACATATACCCCCTGGTTTGCTTCAGCCATGTAATACTCATGATTATGCATGCTGTTGATGCTCACTTTGGAGAAGTCGCTTTGAATAGTAGTCATGGTCCCTCATGGTCTCAAACTTTGGATATTGCTCAGTATAGTTAATAGAGGTGCCATGGCTGTTGGTAACCAGGATAGGAGGGTATTGCATGCTGACCATGTGCTCCAAAGAGGCCTTTTGATGGGGGAAATGGGAGGACCCTGGCACTGGGCTGCTGGCTGAACGGGTGTTGAGTGCCCCCACTGCATGGCTTTTGGAAGGAGTGATTGTAGGGACACTTAAAGCGGTCACAAGTGAAGGGACAGAACTGGCCTCAGGTTTGCGGGCAATGGACAGCCACTCCTCGGGCTCCACAGCTACAGAACGGATGCTGGGATCTGACTGGCGCTTGGAGGCGACACGTTTGACCTCTGTGGTTATCTCACCTTTGGCAGTAGACATTCCTGTGCCACATTTGGCCAGGGTGTCTTCGCTCATTATTTTCATTGTGGACAGTTTGGCACTGATTCGGAGCTCATCAGCCACCGAACGCTGGGGTTGGTTGGCCCGCTCCGGGTGATAGTATTTGCACTTGTGGCCGTAGGTACATTTTTTGCCTGAAAAATAATGCCTTGGAGTAAGACTCTCTCTTCATAGTGGTGTAACCCTCTGTGCCAGAAATTGTCCTAACAATCTGGTCACTCAGGTTAGGGTTATACTGTTTGGGCTTAAGGCAGAAACTTAACCCTCCACAAAGACGAGAGACAGACAACACCAAGGAGTCACCACACACTTGTGAGGGAAGAGGGAGTAAGTGGAAAGCTTCAGAGGAAATGGCAGTGGAAGAGCTAAGACTTGAGCTGTTGACTAGCCTTAGTTTTCTGGTGATGGACAACTTTCCTTAGGCATAATCTGTATGTGGAGGCAGCCTAGACAGCCAGAGAGCAGAATGATGCAGTGCAAAGAGCACAAGTTTAGAAGCCAGTGAGAACTAAGTTTCACGTTCAGCTATGTACTTTACTGGCTGTGTGACCTGGACAAGTGACTATTTTCTAAGGCTCATTTTCCTCTTTGGTAAACAAGGTTCATAACCATGTCTATATTAAAGGATTATTGTAAAGATGAAATGAGACAGCACACATGAAAATTCTCTGATTTGAACATGAGTCAAGGACAAAAAAACAAGAAACCAAAAACACCCCTCAACTAGGGGTTAGTCATTAAGCTCAGACATCCCAAATAGCCAGCATTTGCATTGTTAGGCTCACCAACTTTGCAGCAGGAATTTTTGGTGAGAGCGCGAGAATATTTAGGAAAACTACATTTTAAATATACAAATGAAAACGAAATCTGGAGGCCGAATTCAAATGGTATAGTCAGTTGTCAGAAAGTATAGTCACCTGCCTGAGAAGCATGATCTTGTTGGGGGTCAATATTAGGATTTTGGAACCAAACCTGCATGCATATGGGTTGCCCAGTAACCTATGATGTCCTCATGTGTTGCCTGCCAGGTGTCCACACCTGGAAGGCGAAGTTACCTTACTCCTTAAAGGGACCAGCCAACCCACGTTCTCTCTTGGCCCCTCTTGGTCCCTTTTCTCTTTCTTACTCCCCTTATCTTGGCCCCCTCCCTTATCTCTTTCGGGGCGCCCCTGTCTCTTTTCCCCCATCATGTCCTGTTCTCCCTTCTCTCCCTCTCTTCTCCTCCAGCTAATAAACCTCTTTCATATAGAAGATCTGTTGAAATCGTCATATGATTTCACTCGTCCCCTTACAGTCGACTCTTTGGAATTGCCCCTTCTGCGTCCATAGACTGTATAGTTTCTGCTTGTTCTTACTCGGGACTTAGGTTTCTAGAGCACATGTTATTAAGTGACAACTTGGTAGGTTAACAAGTGACAACTAATCCCCCCTCCGATTCTAGTTACCTTTTCCTCATGCAGTTTCTAAATTGTTTCTTTGTGTACCTAACTGAGAGTACATAAAGACAAAGTTTTTCACTCTCAGAGTGTAGACATACTAAGATTTCTCACTTGAAAGAGAAATCATAAGGGAAAATTATTCAAATAGTCACTATGTTTTCCTTAGTAGAGACCTTAATTCAGGCCAGAAGTACTCACCATAAGGACATGGTTGCTTTTTATGCTCAGGAACAACAGGTTGCTTTCTTAAGAAATTCTCAAGGCTTGGACCATGGCGTCCTAAAGGATCATCTGGAGGCATAAATCTGAAAGCAAGCCCAAAGAAAGTAGTAGTGTTTCTTTGTCTCCACCACAGTTTATAAGAATTTAGGCCTTCTTTCTCCCTTGCCGGTACCATAGGCATAACATTCTAATTGTGTTTTCTAGCTTTCATCTGTCTTCTATGAAGACATCATTTCTTCCTTTTGTTTCTATTTGATCACACAGAAAGGATTATTTCCCTGTGCATCATTCTTTCATGGACTATATGCCCCAGTCAGACGGACAAGAATGTTGCTTTCCCCAGTACACCAGCCAATTCCATACCTTCATAGATTTCTTCGTACTGTCCCTTTTACATGTCATACTCAGTAGCCCTCTTTATTCTGTAAAATTAATTTCAAAAGACAAAGCAACTTTTAACATCCTGTCATTATTTTCTCTCTCCCCTAACTCTACCTTTCCTCTCATATACTTTGAGCCCCTAGAGGGTGAGTCCTGCTTTCTATTCAGTCTCTTATCTTGATTGCAACCAGCACAATTCATGGTATACAGTAAGTGTTCGATATATGTTTACTGAAATGTAATTCATCAGTATCAGTAATTTGTACATAACTGTTTAGAGCTTACTAGAAATAAACTCACTTATCATTCACAAAAGAATACATCAGCAACCGCTCCTCTATAAACTTCTTCCATTCTGGCTTTTCAACTTGAAGGTCTCGGTAGTTATCATTGGACACAATGATGCCATCAGAATCAAAAGCCAATTTGACTATGAACCGGTCATCGTAGCAGACCACCCTTCTGCCTTGGACCCTTCGGGATGGTGTGAAGACGAGAATCTTTTCCTTCTCCAGTTTTCGTAGAATATCTTGATTTATCAAAATATGTTTATGCCACATTGTAGAAATCATTTTTGGAAATTAACTCTTAACCCCATATCACCAAAACAACAGTTAGTACTAGCTAAATCTTTTATTTGTGCTTTGTGAACAAGTGTGCTACTTTTCTGGCTGTAACATCAAATAAAATTGTGACCTCAGATTTGCCATCGTTTCTTTCACACCTTAGTTTTTCCTTCAGCAAAACAGATAACAAAACAAAAGGAAAAAAAACCCCACAATTCTACATTTAGACACATTTAACTTTTAAAACCTATCACAAATAGTAATAATTAATACTTGATATAACATGTTTTTTTTTATTTTTGCTTTTGGTTTGAGACAGAGTGCTACTGTGTAGCCAAGGCCAGGCTGGG